AGACAATGCTAATCACTCTGGGATTCTGAATAGCACTTAATTTTTTTTTAATCTCCATTATAGCTTGCCTGGCATTGCACTACAATTATTTGTTTACAAGTCTACCCTGCTAGACTGCACCTTTTAAGAATGATGTTTGTGTCTTCTTTCCTTTTATATCTCCAGAATATCACAGAGGGCCTGAGCACCCAATAAACATTTGCAATCAGTAAATGGAAGCATCCCGCAAATGTTTGTTGCATAACCAAAAAAAGGAATAAGTGAATGAAACTCCATTGTTGTTTGCTATCACCATCTGCTTTAACTCTGTCAGTTATTTTGAATGATGTATTCACAGTTCTGACTAGATCCAGATTTGGCGTGTTTAAAATTATATTCAGTTGTAAAATAGGAGGCTAGGATTTTTGAAGATAAGAAAGAAGAATTTCTCCCACTGGAAACAATGTCAGTAATCAACAGTTCCCTGCATGGGAAGATAAAAAGGCTGGTTGGAACAGTTTTTGGATTCACAGTGTTTGGCATTTTGGGAAAACCATTTAATATCATTATTTTTTTTCTGCTTATGTTTCCTTGTTAATAAAATGCAGAGAGAAAACCCTATCCTCCATGATAGACTAAATGACTTAATGAGAATTTTTGAGGATGAAAAGCACAAGCTAAAAATTAAAGGAAAACCTTCACTAGTAGTATATAGTCTTTTTCTCCCCTTGAAACCATACTCATGACTGTTATCAATACATATGTAGATATACTTGTGTTTTATGATGGTTTAATAATATGATATATTGATGAATATACTTTCCTCTGTGTTTCATGGGAACACCAGTAAACAAAGCCAAATTTGAGATTCTTGAACTAGAAAAAACTTGGACTTTTGAACTTGAAAAACCAAGTTATGACAGCTTTGGATGTAATGTTTATGCCATAAGCCACACCTATGGAAGAATGCAAGTTCCCTCAGACAAGATGGTATACAACCAGGGGCTTTGGACTTCTTTCCATCATCCCAGAAAGCTAAAAGACAAAAGGAGTTGGTGATTCTCAGAGGTAATAGCTAACATTTAACTTGGGAGACGTTCTTGGGGAACCTGAAGATGGTGGCCTCCTGAAGTATGAGGGAAAGGTGATCAGCATCTTCTGCAACTCTTTTGTCCATTATGTGTGTGACCTTTTCCATATATTTCAAGCTTCTCTGATCTTCAGACTTTATTTTTCCCTTAAGGCATCTTTCTGTACTTTAGAACTTTATTTGTAAGTGTAGTTTAGGTATAGATTGACTAAGATCTCTAAACAGTTTTTGTCTTCAGTGTAAACCAATGACTTTACAACAATGTTCCAAGAATGACCATTCCCCTCTACCCTTCACCACCCACTGTCATATCTTGTCTTGTCCATCCCAAGGTATTGTGAAATTACACTTTATTTGCAAGCCATATTCATTTACGTCCAAATTGTTGAGTTTTACTAACATAAGCTTGATATATTTTTCTATCTGTGAAATAGTTTCGGTAACTAAGGTTGGGATGAAATGCTCAATTTTCCCCAATAAAATTAATGGAAATATTTTTTGCTTAACAGCTTTTTACTTAGTGGTAGGGCTTTTAGGAGTGAATTAAAGCTATTAAGTAAAGAATAGTTGCAACCAAATGGAGGAAAGGAGACTTCAGTCACCATAATTAAATGATTATGCTAACATCTCCTGGCATTTTTTAGATAAAAGAAATGTTTTTCAAGTATAATCAATGCTGGTGCAGCATTGATTCTGGGATATTGAATCAAAAATTCAGGTGAAGAGTCTTTTTTTAACATTTATTTTTTTTAAGTTGTAGTTGGACCCAATTCCTTTATTTTATTTATTTATTTTTATGTGGTGCTGAGGATTGAACTCAGGGCCTCGCACATGTTAGGCAAGTGCTCTACCACTGAGCCACAACCCCAGCCCAGGTGAAGAGTCTTTTAGGAATCTCTGCTTCCCTGCTCATGAAATTCTAGGGGAAACTCGAATGTAGTTCTATGGAAGCATGTGGATAGCGAGACTGCAAGCCGAGGTGATTTATGGCTCTCACAATGTCAAACCTATCATTTAGCAAAGCCCTACTTCCTACTGGGCTGGAGAAGGCAGGAGTGTAACCATGGGGTGTGGTGACACAGACAGGATATTTCATTCGTTTTACAATGGTATAAGGTTTATACTGACCGCATTTGAGTTTATGGGGAAATTGTGTTGGTCTTTGAATTGTATGAATGACTGCTGGCAATTAGGTCATTTTTTAAATGCTGTCTTTCCTTTCCATTTTGGCTACAAGCCATGGAAAATAAATACGTGTACATGGATAGGGGAGAGAGGCAGAGAGGGGATGGGGAGAAGGCGAGAGAGGGAAAGAGATCAGGACAGATCAGCATACACACATAACAAGGTATAACAATCAGGCTTAAGATAGCATACTTGACTTCATCAGAACTTTTTGTGGGAAACTCAAGAGTGAAATGGCACAGGCCAGGATTTGAATAAGAAAGATACAGAGTTCAGGAGCTTGGGTACGTTGAAAACTCACCAGCATTAAGACTATTCATATATTTCATCAGGATTACATGTGGATACTACCTTTTTCTTATTTCAATATTTTCATTCTACAAAGCAGGAGCCTTACCAAAAAATGTGCAGGGAGAGAGAAGTGAACCACATAGGAGGGACTTGAGATAGGGTCAGGAGGCTGTCTTGAGGCTGCCTCTCATAGCTACCACACAATTGTTATTTAGAGGGTGTTACTAATGTATAACAATCACACACTTTTCTAAAAAAATGCTTTTATTCACACCTTACAAATGAATAAGAGTATATCAACCATATTTTTGATGAATACAATCATTCATATTAGTTTTCTTTTTGGTAGCTTTGGAGGAAGCTGTCTTGGAGAGGTCCCTGGGGAACAGTGAAACCAAGGAGATTGAAAGACAATATCAAAGCTTTTTTTAAAATTTTTAACTGTATGCATTATTAACACATGAGTAGGAGTCCAAGAGGTAACAGAGGGTTCTCCTTTTTGTGTAGTTGAACAGTGCTTTGAATCATTTCAGAGTCTTGAATCGAGTCTGTGTGGCTACTTTGGGACATACAACAGGTAACTAGTCTGTTCTTGAGCTTAATTACCCCCTGGAATCTTCTCCTGGGCCTTTGCCCTCCCTTTAAGATCATCTCTCTTGGGCCCTGGCAGGAACTCACCAATAACCCCAAATTCCATTTAAGAGTGAGAGCCACACACCACTAACTCATTGCCCATGTCAATGTGCAACTGGCCACTCCACTGACTCCAATGAATGCTATTAATAGGATAATGCTGGGTACAGAGGACTGGGAGGCAGGGCAGACTGTTGCCACAAGGCTTGCTAACTGAAGCCTCTCATACTCCCCCATTGTTCCTTATGCGTCAGTGTGTTTAGGGAGGAGTGTCTGGCTTGCCTACCTAGCAGAACTCATGTTCAAAATTTTGAACATATTAAAAAGTCAAGCTAAATTAAATCAGCCAGCTCTAAGCTTTTTAGATTTGTGAGATAATGAATAAATGCTAAAAGACTCTGTTCAAAAATATTCTTTTATTTTTTATTTGGGAACCAAACCAAACCAAAAGTTGCAAGAAATACATAGTGGGCCCCAATATGCCCTTTACATAGATCACTATTTTTGAGATTTTGCTGTATTTTCTTTTCTCTCTCCTCTCTCTTTCTTTATACATGCATGCTATTATTATCATCATCATTCTTCTTGGTGAATCACTTTTATGTACCTTGCAGACATCATGACCCTTTACCTCCAAATACCCAGCTCGGATCTTTTTATGAACAAGGATATTCTTTTGCCAAAAATATATTTTTTTCAGTAGAATAAGACAAGGGTCTGTTGAAACCTTTATAACCAAAGTGTGGGCCAGTCCAAGGTGCTGACTGTTGGGCCCTGCACAGGGTCTCCTGCTAAAAGCAAGGAGAGCAGGAGAGACACCACCACAAGTCTGGAGGACTTTATTATTGCCATAAAACATATTTTTTCCATGTTCTCTTTAGACGCACGAAATGAAGGCTGCATTCCCAAGATCTGGCTTGTGGCTTTAAAATAAAAAAATATATATGTTTTAACAGTATTCGCTTTGGAGGGATGAAAGCATGTATTTTATTAACATTTCCAAACTCTTTAGGTTTTAGCCTGACAGCATCCAGCCTGCAAACTGCTGCAATCAAAAATGTATGTCTTTTAAGAAATTATACCTTTCAGTTAACCAAAGGGAAAAACTTTCCATTCTTCTGTGAATCATCTCTCTAATGGAGAACTTTAAAAATCCTGTGTATGATTAACACAGTAGGGTGACAAGGAGGTAATCCGATTCATCTCACCTAATGAATTTTGCAAGCACTTTTCTAGGGGTTTTGCTCATTGGTTGTTTGGGTCTCATTCATAATATTCTACAGAGACCGCGCCCAGCACAGACCGCCATACCATGCCTGGGAAAGGGTATAAACAGCACTCTGGCCACTCCAGCCACACGGGGATGCGCCCTACCTCCTCAGCTGTCTCTGCTCTCACAGAGCCCCGGGCACTCCGAGGAGCAGTCCAGTTTTCCCTATAGGAACCTAAAGGGCTTGAAGGAAGCTGGAATTCGACGAAGGAACTTGCTCCAACATGCCAAATCTGCCGCATCCCCAATATCCCACCTTCCTCCCTCTGTGTTCTCTACCTGCACCCCCACTCCCAACTTGAGAACTCCCCACCCCCACCACATTGACTGTCTCAATGCTAACCCCTTGGATGTGAGGAAATGTCTTTGAGCCAGAAGGCGCCCACAGCTGCGAGGCCACCAGTGACTCCCAGCGGCCGCACAGGGCGCTGCGCCCCTCTCGCCCTGGCCTCCCCCGCCCTGCGTCGGCCCTGCCGCCCCCGCGCCGCCTCCTGCGCCGCGGCTGGAGGCGGATTCCTCTCTCCGGGTTTTCAGAGCGCCTCTCCGAAACCTCCTCCCCGCCCAGAGAGGGGGAGAGATCCCGGGCGCAATCGCTCCCCGGAGCGGCCAAGGGGCGCGCGGGGAGAGGCCTGCGCCGGGGTACTTTCAAACTGAGGCGCGCGCACACACTCACACCCATCCATACACACACACACACACACACACACACACACACCCGTTTATATAGGCGGCGGCGGCAGTGGCCGGGGCGGCGGCGGCGAGCGCAGGAACGATGGAGCTGAGCCAGCCGACCCCTGTTGGAAGCAAGTGAGGAACCCAGGCGCACCCCTGGATTTCTGTGCAGGCGCTTGTCATCCTCCCGAGGGAACTGTGCACCCGAAGGAGGACCAGTTGGACTGATTTGCTAGGGAGAGGGCGGGGAAAGGGAGGCCAGGTGAGCCGAGGAGCCCCCTGCGTATCTGGACTGCCCGGATCGCGCCTTGCCGGACTCCTGCCCTTTCCTTGCTCAGGTGGGCGCGCCCGGTCCCCAGCTCAAGAGAGGCGCTCAGAGGAGAATAGAAAGTCGCGGCTCCTCTGCGCGGGATGCCTTTCGCCAAGCGGATCGTGGAGCCGCAGTGGCTGTGCCGGCAGCGGCGCCCGGCGCCCGGCCCAGACGAGGATGAGAGTGGAGGCAGCGCCGAGCCGCCGCCGCCCCTGCAGCCGCCTGGCCGGCGGGAGGAGGCCGAGCTGCCGGGGCCAGAGGAACCTCCCCGAGCGCCCCCTGCGCCTCTCGGGCTGCCGCCACCTCCGCCGCCGGTACTTGCGCCGGCTGACCAGGCTCAGCAGCCTCAGGGCGAAGCGCCTGCGGCCGGCGAGGAGAGCGCGGCGGGGGTCCCGGAGGAGGCGTCCACAGCTGGTGAGGCTTCCACCGCGGCAGCGGCGGCTGTGCTGCTCATGTTGGACCTGTGCGCAGTCAGCAACGCTGCGCTGGCCCGTGTCCTCCGGCAGCTCTCGGACGTGGCCCGGCACGCGTGCAGCCTCTTCCAGGAGCTCGAGAGCGACATCCAGCTTACCCACCGCCGTGTCTGGGCACTGCAGGGCAAGCTCGGCGGCGTGCAGCGCATCCTCGGCACCCTGGACCCCAAGCAGGAGGCAGTGCGTGAGTACTCGCGCCGTCAGCCCGCGGGGCGATCGCTATTGCGCCGCACCCTCGCGCTTTCCCCTGTCACCGCAATCCCAGCCCCGCGGCACCGCGCCTGCTGCAACTTGCACCTTACTCTCTCGCCTTCCCACCCCTCCCTTGCCCTGAGATCCACCCCAATCCTCCTGGGGCTTAGTAAAGCCAGGCTAACCCCCATGAAGGCAGGGATGCAGACATCAGAAGGCAGAAAGTTAAAGGGCAGCCTCTGAACTCGCAAGCATCCGTGGGCTGAAAACGCTCAGAAAGGGAGCGTATATGGGGGATAGCAGGCAGAGAGAGTCTGTCTGTCATTCACCTCTTGGACTCGCCTTTTTTGTCCTTGGGAGGAGGGAAGGGTGCAACTCCTGTGGTTTCCAGCAACCCAGCCCAGAGCCATGCTTGGGGGCTCCAGGAGTAGTAGATAACCTTTTAAAGCTCCTGCAGTGGCTTTGTCACTCTTTCTATGACCTTACGGGCTGCCTGGATTCCCCGAACTTATGCCTCTCATGGGTGTGCGACGTAGTGCGATGCTCCTCTCTTCTTGGATTCAACTCCAAAGTGCTCTACTGAAAACCCTTGGGGTCTGGAGGGACCGGAGGAACGAAGGGGAGCAGCTACTGCTTGGTCCCTAGGGAGATCGAGGAGACCCAGGTCATCTTTTTTGCCCCAACAACCTAGAATTCCTTCTAAATGGCTCGTTAGGCCATCTGTACCTGTTCTTCCCCTACCCTTGCCCCAGGGCATTTTCCCTCAAATCTACCAGCTTGTGTCGATTTACGTATGAACCAGTCCTGCCAGGCAGTTTTCGAGGAGAGAGCCAGGAAGGAGGTCTGGAAGACCATTGGGCATCTTCACTGTGCGTTGACTTCACTCTTTCGACATCACAGAGCTCCTGATAAGTAGTCATTCTGTGTCATCTGCTCTCCAAGGGGCGTGCAGGCCAGTGCCCTGGTGCATGGTTGCCCAAATCTAGCAGCAGGGGAATCATTTAGGAAGGACCCCGGCGAAAGACAGTAGTGCTGGTCTGGTACGCGGGTCCTTTGGCGCCTAGTCCCGCTGCAACGCTCGCAGCAAAGGTGATGTCAGCGACTCTGACTTACGTAAGAAGCTTCCTCTGTTGCTGCAGCAGCTGCACCGTGCGCCGGTGGCCTAGGAGCACACCCGGTAGAGGCAACCTTTCCTGGGATTTCCGTGCACCTCTGTCGCGCAGCCCAGCCTAACCTCCTTGCTCTACCGCCTGCCCCTCTTTTTCTCCTCCTCCAAAAAAACCCCTTTGAACCCGCCCTGGGAATTCACTGCTTTTCTGCAATAACAATAATAATAAGCGTAATGAATAAATGATGTGTGGATCGGTTTTCGCAGCTATAAAAGACCCGGAGTTGGGTTAATGACTGGTTGTTTAAAAGGGCAATTCCGGGGATGAGTTCTGGAAAGAATTAGGACTGCCTTAGGCCAAGTCGTATTTTACTTTTGGGACTGGAAATGAGCGCTTTAATCCTGCCTCCTTTTTACCCCTAACCACACAGCAGGGACAAGCCCTTCACTTTCAACAGCACTGATATCTGGGGAGTGTGGTTGTGGCGGGGAGTGGTGATTTCACTTCAAAAGAACTGGAGGGAAGTTCTGCAGACTGTTGAGTGGTGCATACATTTCCCTTGTGTGCCTGTATGGTGGCGGTGGGAGTGGGGGGAGGACACACCTCTCCTTAAATAGTTTGATTTCACACAAATGAAACTCACTGCCAGTGGAGAATGTGTCCTCCTTTCTGTCCTTTCTTTAGAGGCAGCAGTAGTTTTGTATCTGGATTTTAACAGTCCTTTCAAGTCCTTTTAACTGTTTGGAGTATCAACTAATGGTTATGGAAATAAGAGGAGGACCTTTACTATATGCATACAGTGGTGAATATATACTCTATTCATGTATATTTATATGTGAATAAAGAAGAGACTAATATAATACCCAGGGAAAGACTTAAAAATCTATTCTTTTTTGTTTTTCCAAAATGCTGTCTCTTCACTTTGTGTTCATATCTCTGTCTCCTCTCCTTCATCTAAATTTAGATGTCATTGTTCTTATTTGATGTCATAGAAGGCATTACCTTTGGGAGTAAAAACACAATATTAACATGTGTTAGTTTGGGTTTCCCAGAATGCAGAGACAGAGACAAAGATTTTCATACATGCAGTTTGAGAGGAGATCCCAGGAATCCCAGAGAGGGAGCGTGGAAGTGAACCGGGAAGAGAGAAAAGCTAGTACTTGATGTGAACTGGTTACCACTGCAGACAACTGCAGTTGAATCCAGCTTAGGACCCTTTGGTGCACACACCTCAGATGTGTTCTGCTGAGGGGTGAGGAAGCTGGAATATTGCTGCACAACTTCTGCTCCTTGCAGATAGAAGGTAGAGCCTGGAGTGTGAATATCCTGGCTTCTGAGGCTTGCCTCATGTATGATCCCAGCATGCTCCTAGGACCAGGTAGAGAGAGCTACCAAAAACCTGTGGTGTGCATAAGAATGTGTACAGAGGTCCTCCAGGGAGGGCAGAGGGGCTCTGAGTGGGGTACCAATGGTATCAGCTACATTATTGCTCAGGCCTGTAAGAGTTTAAAAGGGAGAAGAAGCCTGAAAGTGAGTCACTTTGAGGTTGTCCAAGTGCCTCTACACTCCCTGTATAGCCTCCCCCCCCAGATTATCATGCCCATCCTCAGCTGCTTTCTGCTGCCCTCAGACACACTGGGAGGCTTTTTGCAGGGATGACTTGATCTGAAGTACACTTTAGCAAAGTCACCCCTGAGGTAGGCCTGGAGGCTGGTAGACCAGTTAGATAGTGAAGCTAGTGTTGTTGTGTAGAACTAGGGAAGTAGCTGTGGAGAAAGTAAAAAGTGGTTGGATTCTGAATTCAGTTTGGAAATGGAATTGATAGGGCTTACTGATAGGATTGGGTAAAGGGTATGAGAAAAAAAATAATTAAGGATGATTCAGTTTCTTTGAAAAAACTTATAGAAGTTGGTGCCATTTACAAAACTGGGGAAGGCTAGTGGGAGAGTGGATATTTTATTATGGGGGGAATAGAATCAATATTTTTCCATTTGAGCCATGTTAAGTCTGTGTGATGTGTCTCACACAATTAGACGTGAGTTGAGAGCTCAGGATAAGGAGACAGGATGAAGAAGCAAATTAGAGACATAAACGTAGAGATGGTATGGTGAAGCTCTGACCTTGGGACAGTGTAGATAGTAAAGGAAAGGGAGCTAGCATTTAGCCTAAAGGAGCCTAACTTTGAAAGTTTAATAGGAAAAGAGAAAAGCTGAGGAAGAATAGCCAGAAATCTAGAAGAAAAATCAGGAGAGTGTGGTATGATGGAAGCCAGGAGAAGGTGCTTCAAGAATGGAGGGGGGCTAGGGGGTAGTTCAGTGGTAGAGCATGTGTTTAGCATGTGTGAGGCCCTGGTTCAATCCCCAACACCACACACACACCAAAAAATGAAAGAAAAAAAGGATGCGGGGGAATAGCATCTTGGTTCAATGCTTGTGAGAGTAAGATGGGCACCAAGAACAGAAGAAACCACAGAGTTTGGTAGCCTGTAATTAATTAGAAGCCTTGATAAGTGGCATTCCAGTAGAGGCGTGGGGATTAAGGCCCAATAAGAGAAGCTGGAGAAAAAACAGGAGGGGTGAAAGAGGAAATAGCAATGACACACAATTCTTACAAGGAGTTTTGCTTGGAAGAGAAATGGGGCAGTGGCTGGAGTGGAATACAGTACCAAGGGAGATTTTCTTAAAAGGTCTTGATATTTTAGGCATGTTTACATTCCATGGAGAAGAGGAAATTGAAAATGCTGGGGAAAGGAACTGGGCCATTATGGAAGTCCTTGAGAAACTGAGATGGGGTTAGATGAGAGCACCATTTCACTCATGGGACCTGGAGAGAAAATGGCGCATAGAGACAGAGAGGCAGGTGGGCTGGTAGAGTGACAGAGATGGAATGGGGTGTTCTACTATTACATCTATTTTCTCTGTGAATTATGTGATGAGGTCATCAACTGAGAGGGTGTGACAATGTGAGGAGAGAAGGGAAGGTGTTAATAAGTTGTCTGGGGGGAGGGAACATGGATGCAGTAAGGAAGTGCAGTGGGATTATCTGGTTGTGTTGAGAGCCTTCTAAGATTTATGGTAATGAACTTGAAGTGAGTCCAGCTTTTCAGTCACTAATACTTGACACTTTGAAATTACTTCATGGGCTTCAGTGTCAAGCTAAAATACTATCCTCAGACATTTTAATGTTTTTAGCTTTTGATTATATTGCTGTTGATTATATTTAGTTACTGAATTTTAAAAACAAATTTTATATCTGTGTGTGTGTGTGTATAACATTTGTATGGAAAATCACACAGATTGTAAATCAGCTTGATTGATTTTCACAAAGCAAATAACTCATGAAAATACCACCCAGGTCAAGAAATAAAACATTACTCTGCCTGAAACACTTTCCTCTCAAGCCCCATACTACTCACTATTGCCACTCCCCAAAGGTATCTACTTTCCTGACTTCTTACTGCCATCAGTTAGATTTTCCTGCTTTTTAATTTTATATAAGTGGAGATACACACACACACACACACACACATATACTTTTTAGTGTCTAGCATTATTCACTCTACATTATATTTGTAATATTCTTCACTGTTGTTTGCATATTTAGTAGATTATTTATTCTCTTGCTGAATAAAATTCCATTATGTGCATATACCACAATTTGTTGATTAATACTCCTGATGATCAGCATTTGGATTGTTTCTGTTTTAGGACTATTTTCATGAATATTTTTTCTACCTGCCTTTTGATGAGCTCATGTATATATATCTAAAAGTGAAAATGCTGGATGAAAAGGGATGGATATGTTGTTTTTAGTAGATACCACCTAAGTTTTCTAAACCGGTTGTAGCATTTTTTAAAAATATTTATTTTTTTAGTTATAGGTG